CCCGCCGCCCGCGCCGCCGCCCTGCTGCTCGCCCTGCTGCTGCCTGCCCACGCCTCGCACCGTGAGTTCTGCCCGGGGCCGGGGACCCCACGCGTACGGGCACACGCGCTTTCGCCCTGGACACGCACACGGCTTCCCCTCCTGTACCGCGCACACTTGCCTTCCCCACACGCGCACATGCACAGACGCATCTCTCCTCCCACCCCCACACGCACGCCTTCTTGACTCCCTTCCCTCCCTGCCCCCGGCACAGACACAGGCGTGCCTTGCACACATGCACACCTTCCTCACCTGCACGCACCCCCCTTCTTCCTCCCCCCACACAGACCTTTCCTGCTGCCCCACACCTGGCCCCCTGGGGAGCCCACTCTTCCCAGCACAGTAATGCTGGGGAGGCAGCTGGATCCCTGCCCCCCCACTCTCCTGGAAAGTGCTCCAAGTGGGGGAGGTAGCCATGATGTTGGCCCTGGGGAATGGGTTGCTTTGTTACAGCCTTGTGGGGGGGGCATTGTTTGGGATGTATGCATGGGGGGAAACCTGTTGCGTGCTTTGGGTGGGGGTGCAGGTGTGGGGGTGACTGTGCCCCCTGTGTGCACACATGTAGGCCTGCAGGAGGGATATGACTGTGTGCGGGGGGGTGAGTGTACACCTGCATGCATATGTGTGCATGCATGCACAAGGGATATGACTGTGCCCCTGCCTGTGTGTGAATGCGCATCTATGGATGCAGGAGGGGTATATGATTGTACCCCTCTGAGCGTGTGCACATGTCTGTGTGTACATACATGTGCAGGAGGTGTATGATTGTGCACTTGCATGTGTGTGCGTCTACACATACATGAGGGGTATGATTGCGCCCCTGTGTGTTTGTGCACACACGTACATGTATACATGTAGGAGGGATATGACTGTGCCTGCGCAAGCGTGCATGCAGAAGGGATATAACTGCGCCTCTGTGTGTGTGTACACCCATATATTTGCGCATACATGCATGCTGGAGGAGTGTGACTGCCCTTGCATATGTGCGCACACATGTGTACATGTATGTATGCAGGAGGGGGTATGACTGCCCTTGCATGTGTGTGTATGCATGCAGGGGGGCCGGTTGTGGGAGCTCTCGGGATGTGCATGGAGCGAGCGTGCGATGACATCCCTGGCCTGACCTTGATGTGGGTGGTGAGCACAACTAGGGCTCCACTTTATGAGTGTGGCGCATTGTGTGTGTGCATGTGCACATATGTGTGTGTGTGTGGAGGAGGGAGGGAGGGGATATTGTGCCCATGGGCACCTCTGTGTGCAGCTGTATCATTGTCCTTGACCCCTGGCCTGTTTTCAAGCCCGGGGTCTAGAGCTGACTCTTGCATTCACTGCCATCTCTCTGTCCCCTGTGCTCTCTCCGCCTGCTTGCGGCTGCAGCAGTGCTGCTGAGAGCCCCGGAGGCTGCCCAGTTCCTGCAGCAGAGGCACCGTCGCGCCTACCAGATCTTTGAGGAGACCAAGCAGGGCCACCTGGAACGGGAGTGCGTGGAGGAGCTGTGCAGCAAGGAGGAGGCCCGGGAGGTGTTTGAAAATGACCCTGAAACGGTGAGGCTGAGGAGTTGCGGTTTGCGTTGGCCTTCTGCCACCACCCCCCCAACAGCTGGCGGGGTGTGGGGGAGGGGTGCACAGCTGTCTGCACATCTGAGGAGGTGGTTAGGGGGAGGAGGAGGAACCACTTGATAAATAACTCGACCTGCTCAGCATAACCCAGCGCAGTGTGCCTGTTGTCAAGGTCAAGGAAACCGAGTGAATGAAGGGCTGGTTAAATTTGACTGGGCTAACATTGTTTGGAGTGAGACATTTCATCCAGGAGGGTCAGCGTCCTGCCTTTGCATTCAAAGGTCAAATTTATCAGTGTCACCTGACCGAGGGTAACCTAATACTCCTGCCTTTCTGTCTGAACACCTTTCTCTCCATCTTCTTCTCTCCATCCTGTCCCCAGAACACTTCAAATCCGTATAACTGTGTCCCAAAGCAGCATGCCAGAGGAAAAAAAAAATTGCAGAAGAAATGTCATAAATAAATGTTAGCACTTCCAAGTCATAATCATTTTGGTCGGGGAATCTGGGGTTTAGGCTTAGAACCCCTCTAAGAAAGAAAAGGGGGAGCATTTGATTAGATGCCATTGCAGCAAGTATGATGCTGCACATAGTTTCACATTGAGTTGCCACCTACAAAAACAGCATATAGAATTCTTGAGTTGTTCATAGCCATATTTGTATCTTCAGTACTATACCAGGAGCCTGTTTTTGTACTTTTAGCAAAATGAAACAACTGTATTCCTATGAAGTTTGTTGGTTTTCTTTTCCAGATAGCTTTCACTTTCTTGGCTTGCTGCTTTGAATAGGCTGGCCCCACCTCAGAGATTATCTGGCACTGATTTTGTGGTGGAAAGTGAATTCCAAGGTTGACGAGCTTGATATTGTACAGGGAGTTCCTGTTAATGGCCTAATGCTTTTTAGGGGAGGAGGAAAGATCTGGCTCTTGGCTCTTCTTATTGAGGAGTTAATATTTTATATTCAAGTCAAAACATGTCTTGACATGTTAGTGTTGTTAGGCTGATAGTGCATTTAATGTAACTATCCATTGCCCTGTGAGATGGCACAAAACAATAGGAAGAAGTACAGCAAATAGGTCCTTAGGCTGGTTTTTAATTTTGACTAATTGCATTTCAGAGTTTAAAATTGAACTCCTGCTTACTCCGGTCTGCAAAGTGTCTGATACACTCCTATCTGTGTGCATACACTCACATCTAGATGCAGTCTGGTTTGGTATTCTAAGAAACAGAGTTAACGCAGGAAAAACACTTGAAATGTGATGACAGACTAGCTAGTGCTATAATGTTCTATATTCCACTGGACTAGAATCTTCCAATTTGTAGTCATTCATTATAAGGACAGTGAATGTGGGAGAAAATATAAAATCAGATGGCAAATGCAAACTTTGACTAGTTAAAGGGTAGGTAATCTGAGGTCATCAGTTGTATTTATTGGCCTTTAGCCAAGAAAATTGTCAAAGGTGTCGCGTCTACAATACATAGACAAGCATGTTCACAGGAAGAGGAGACTACTGTAAGTGTATGTAACAATTATTAACAATAGCTGGCACTTATTTTGCAGTTTGGAAAACTATAATTTTCTTCCTGTAATGAAAACATTGAAGTAATTTGGGCCTTAAATCTATTTAGCTATAAAGATACGTTATCTGAGATGGTATCATGGTACTTGAGCACTTTTTAAAATAGTAAATATTTCACAAATGAAACTTGTTTTGGTGGGTATCTCTATTGCTGCTCTTTGGTCTGGTTAAAAAAACAGTAAAGAAACATGATCAGGGTTGACAGGCCTCTAATGATTGTGTCCTCTTAAATGTTCTACTAGTATCCAGACATCAAAATATTGTTTTAAAGCCACTGTATACCTAAGGGTATTCTTCTCCAGAGACAGCTACCCAAACACCAGAAATGCAACTTTTGTTAGTTTTGTACAGCATGTCCCTCTTGTTGTGTCTAGAGATGTACTGATACATTGGTTCCATATCAGCACCGATATAGGGAAAATTGACAGCATCGGAAATCGTGTTCGTTTGTTTTTTCCTGGTGTGGCGGATAAATGCCTTACCCACACCAGCAACACCGTTGCCCAAAGTCTTGGCAGTGCTTGGGCAGGCACAGCTGAAGCCCAGCCAACATGTGAGATGGGGGACAGCAGAACTGCGGGAGCGAAGCTGGTTCCCAGCCTGGCAGGGTCTCAGGCCTGGTCTGCCCAGGGTGGCTCCTGGCAGGGGAAGACCTCGGGGGAACACGGGCCGCTCCGCTCCTCCGCTTCCCTGTGGCAAAGGGAAATGGCCCCTGGGCGGACACAGGCAGCCACCACGGCAGGAGAGCAGCGCCCAGCCCAGCTGCAGGGAGCAACAATCCTCCTTCCCCGCCGAGCAGCGCAGCCCCACAAGCCGGCGCTGCCCGAGGGGGGCCGGAGCGAGGTGGCCGCTGCACCACAGCCCCTCACTCGCCTGCCCACATGGCCCTGTTCACCATGGTGCCCAGCCACCCACACACACAGCCCTGGTGGCCTCAGCGCTGAGAGCCCAGAGCGCGGGGCCCGGTGGACACGGGCTCCTGCCGCCTCGCCCCGCAGAGGTCACGCCAGACCCCACCTGCCGAGGCCCCCCCTGGGGCTGCCCTGCCGACTGCCTGTGCCAGGCGCTGCGCCCTGTTCCCGCCCCACGGCCGCCAAGCCTGGCGGGTCCTGGGAGGCGGGCGGGACGCCAGGGGCAAGAGGCCCGGCCGGAGACAACTAAAAGCGGGCGCTGTCCTCAGCTTATCCGGTCAGGTGCAGCTGGGGCAGGCCTGCGCCGCGCAGCCCTAAGGGTGGCGGTGGGACCCGGCTCACGTGACATGGGAAGTCACGCAAGCCTGGCCCCGTGGGGATGAGCAGTTCCCTCCTTCACCCGCCTGTCCCGAGCGAGGGCCCTCGGGCCACAGAAAATGGCTTGGCGGGGCGCATGTTGGACAAGCCTGATGTAGACAGTAGCAGAAGACTGTAACTGAGCAACTGTTTCTGAGCAAGGTGAAGTAGCTTGCATGGAGTTCCATACTGTGTCACTTAGACTGTATCTGGTACTTAAACTGGCTCGGTATGTCTATGCTGCACCCCAAGGTGTGCACCAAACTCACAGATGCCTTTAAAAATTGTAGTTAAAACAAAGCCAGAGGCGTAAGTTTACTCTAGAGTCAGTCTTAGAATTGTTCTTTGGAAAGACAGCTCTGTTGACCCAGTAAATAGCAATTAAATGTTTCAGCACACGTCTGCAAGAGGTAAGGTGACTACCAGTTTGTTTTTTCTGTTTTTGCTTTGCTTTGTTGTATGGGCCAAGATTTTCAGAAAACAGTCTGCAGATAGTCATCAGGAAAGATGCAGTTTCTCTCAGAAATCTGAATAACAATGGTGTTGTCACATTTGTGATTGTTCACTTTAACCATACAATAACCATAACAGTGTTAGGTGTGGCTAATTATCCATTTATTTAGTCAGGTTTTTGTGTTTGTATTATAAAGAATATTGACAAGCCCACCAGGTTGCGGGAGGGAAGATCATTTGTAACATTTTAGACTGAGATTTTGTTCTACCCATAAAAATACATCACTTTGTTTATGGCTGTATGACTATAAATGGTAAAAACAAATGTGTGTAGTAGGGTAATGAGTTTTTAAATGGAACTGATTACAACATCTTTAGATACTGCTGCAAAACTCTTGGACTGGCTGAAGTGTGTGTGTGTGGTTTTTGTATTGCTTTTGTTTCCTCCAGCTAAAGAAGGTCAGTAAAATACCAATAGATAATTTCAACAGATAAAATAGACAGGGGAGTGGGGAGGGAATAAGGAAGGAAACACATTCATGAAGGTCCAGAATTTCTTCTTAAAGCAACCTATTGAACAAACAAACCATGTTTAATAAATAAGGTTGTAGTTGGAAAACATCTTGGATATAGAGCTAAGAATGTTATCTCCTTTAAGATGCTGATGAGGGTCTTTATAAAAGGCAGTAACATACAAATATTTAACCTCGGTATGCAGTTGGGGTCTTATAGCTCCTTAGCTGGCTGATAAACTGCTCTGGTATTTGGCTGACCTATTCTAAAAATGTAGTTACCCAATTACCTGTGTAAAAATGAGGGGCATAAGGGAAAGTGATTAGCAGTTTTATAAGGAGAGGTGTGGTAAAACAGGCTGCTCAGTGGACTGGTAGTTCCTCCTTTTTTTTTTTTTTTTTTTTAAATTCAGTTTGGTATGTGTGGGTGTGGGATGCACAATTTCTTGTAGTGGCAACTCATGAAAATGAAAATTACTTACCTACCACACTATAATTATTTGTTTTCAGGTGTTACTCCAGAGCAATTACTTACATTCTGCATACCATGTTGGACTTCAGTTTTTTTTAAGTTTTTGGGGCCATATCCTCAACTGGTGTAAATCAGAGTAGGCCTGTCAGTGAATCTCTGTCAGAATTTAGCAGCTAAGGATCTGTTTTTCTGATTTTCCATTTATAGATCTGACCCTACTCCTCAGATATGACAGGACAAATCAGTTGATGTTCAGCTGCATGCCTGATAGGCAACAAAGTACATGGTAGGCTCTGCTCTGTTTCAAAGGACTTGTATCCATATGGCACTTGTGTTTTGCCAGAAACGTAGGCAAGAAAATTGGTATAGTTACTACAAAATGTATGTCTTAATTCACTGTTTCGTATATTGTTGCTCCTAGTGATGTAAAACCTCTGATAACACCTGAAAGAAGAAAATGCCGTTTGTCAGTGCCTTCTACTTTTTTATTTTATTTTATTTTTTTGATTTGCAGTAGTTTTTGATTTGTGGATGAATATTTGATACTGTACTAAATTTCTTTCTTCAAGACTGATGTCTGCCATCAGTGAGCAATAGATTTAGTACCAGACAGTAGATTGTTGGGAGCATGGTTTCAGTTCCGAATCTATGTCCAGAATGAAAATGTGAAGACTTCCCTGGAAACGGAAAGTTTCGCCCTTT